TACTCTTATTAAAACGACTTGTAATCAAATGAATAGTTAAGAGTCTGCTTTCTTTTTCAACCAATAAACTGTTTGGGCATTCAAAGGGGCTAGGAATTGGAAAAGGTTGCAAACTTTTGTACTGATCTTATCACTTGGCCCAGTGAGCCCATCTTCATCTTGAACAAACTCAGATTTGAACGTATTAGTTCTATGTTGTAGATAAAATTAAGGTTAATGAAAAAAATATTCCGGAGAGAATGTGACACAAACGTAAGATATTATGTTAAGAAATATGAATAAAAAATTATTAAAATTTATAGAGTATAAAATTATAAAATTTTAGAAGATACGAAACTAAATCATTTATTAGAAATTTGAGAGAGAAAATTACAAAAGCAATATCAACGTAAATAAAAACATGCACAAGATATAGGATTGAACGTGATTCGGCCTTACCTAATTCCGCGAGCGAAATGAATAATAATTCACTATAAATTTGGAGACCACGAATAGTACAAATACTTGATATTGGATGTATCCCAAAATCCAATATATATATATATATATATCAAAACTTGATATATCCTAAAACATTCTTCCAACTTCTCTGTAAAACTATCTTTACAACATAAATCTCAGAAGTTGTAGAAGTCCCTATTGAGAAACAGAAGAAAATAGATTGGTTTATTGATACTATGAAAATGTATTTATGAGTACAAGATTAGTGCTCCTTTTATACTACTGCTCTTAGCTGCTAATACAACCACCTTAACTGAACAACTAACCAAAACTAACTTGCTAACAACCTTAGTTGTTATAACAGCTTCAACTTCAGGAAGCTTCTAAGTGTACTGCTAACGTACACACTGCATTAGCTGATTTAGTACGCTAATAGTCCCAAAAAGAATTACATCTCTCCAGACAGTGACGGATCCATAAATATTTACTTTGCCATAGTCCATGTAGCAATAGCTTTATTTTTTTTAAATCACTCCAGTTTTACATTAGTGTATAACACTTCTAATAATTTTGTATGGTTAATATTTTATGTTTCATTCACATAGATAGTATATTTTAAATTTTAAGTAAATTAATTATATTCAATTATTTGATTTATATAAAAAAATCAACCCTCAAATATATATTAAAAAATAACACTATACATCACTATAATTGTATTATCAGATTGATTTTTAAAAATTTACTTGAATGAAAAATACAGTAATTGTTAGAATATTATCCAAAAAAAGTTACTAAAATTTGTAAAATTAATTGTATTTATGAATCTGAAGCTCAAATTTGAAGTCAGTGTATGTGTCATTATATTATCCAGTTATGACAACGATAACTATACGTTACCTTTGGGTGAAAAAGAAGAAGATATAATTAGGTACGTAGTTGAACATTTCCTTTCACGCAACCATTTTTGAAAATTCAGTGATGCAGACCAAGACGTTTATTAATTAATGTAAGCCTAGCTATTCATGATAATATATATATAAATATATATTATGTGTATTCAAATAAGATGTTTTAATTAAACCATTATTTGAAAATTTTACAATCAATCCTTAAAATTTTATTTGATTATGAGTTTTTAAATAATAATTCAATTGATATAATATTTGTTTTAATATAGTAGTGACTATATTAAGATGATATTTTAGACCTCGATTATAGGACACTGCTTTGTTGAGTCTTCGATTATTGAAAGTTACAAAATGAATCTTTAACTATAAGATGTTGTTTTACTGAGTATCCTAACTATTAAAAGTTACAAAATAGTCACTCGATTATTCATATATTCCAAACTCATCTTGTTCTGTTAAAAAATTGATTGCCATCTGAGCTAAACGCTAACACACTCACTTAGATATGATAAAATATGATCCTAGAACTGTTTGAGTTGTATTTTGTGGATCGAGTCTCTGTTTACATTATGTTGTTGAACCAAAAGCTACGATGATACCAATAGATATCATTAAAATATAATTTTATAGTATTTCAGTCATCAGGTTAATGTACAGGTTAGACGGACGCCAAATTTTTAATAGAAAAATACGAGTTGAGTGACCATTTAATAACTTTTAATAGCTTAAAAACTCAACATAGCAACATCCTACAATTGGGCAACCATTTGTATACTTTATCCATAAATTATCGTATTTTCTTAAGTTACTTTAAGAAATCAATTGTAAAAACATTTTGATCATTATTTTAACGTAATTAGAAAAACAAATAGGTATTATATTTTATATAAGAAAGAAGGCAGTATTTTGATAATTGTTATATATAAATATATATACAAGGGTCACTTTAGCAGTATTTCTGAATCTTGTCATGCAAGGAGGATGAGAGACATCCAGCTAGCGTTATGATGCCCCAGACATTAAATGGATAAGACTGGTTCGGTGGAAATAACAATCAACCTGTACTTACAACATACATAATTAAGAATTAAAATTTGTTATGCTATGCACGAATAAAATGGTCTTAGTTTGTTTATTTCGTCTTTTGACTGTTATTCAAGTTATGGACTGATTTGAGGCTGTCATCCGAGAGTTCTTCCTTTATTTGTTGGGTGTGCTCAAGCTTCAATGATAAAGGCTTAGCTTGTCGCTGTTTTCGGAACTTTGAAGCCTGCTTGGGACACTGCTTTCGATGGTTGAGTGGTGTGGTCAACTTATACATGTATTATTGCTGTTTAAGAAGTGTGGTATTCGCTTTCTGTAATGTGTTTTAGGATGTGTAATTATGTGGGCGTCTTTTGTTGGCTGATTGTCCGGTTTTGTTTTGTCATCCTACTTGAATTTTAGGTTGTATTAGGGAGCTTTTTAACAAGGCATATAACTTGGTTAAATTTGATTATTAATAATATCTTCTTACTGAGAAAAAATAGTATTAAATAATTAAGAGCCTTTTAAATAAATATTACTTTATATTAATAGTAGATTAATAAAATAAAGCTGTTGTTCTATAAATACTTTCTAACTAATTACTAAATAGTTAGGATTTTGTCACATCTTCAAGAGTGCCCACAAGAAGAAAAATGCGAAACCAAACGAAAAGAGAAGTCTAATTGAAATGTAAACTCATCAGTATAAAGCACACGTCTTTGACAAGACATCTTCACTCCAAACAAAAATGCAAAATAATATTGAGAATCCGAAGTTAAAGTGAATAAAAAGCAGCCAGAAAAAGTTTGGTTCTGCGTGGCACTGACATAGATAGATAATATAACAAATTTTCATGATTAATTGCCACAATAATTAGCCTCGTGATAATGTTCCCTATTAAATTGTAGGATGACTAGCCAAATTATGGGTAAACTATTGTAATAATCCCTTTTGTTTCATAAGTGATTATTTTCTTCTATCGAATCTAAAAGGTAATATGATGGTCATTTACATTGTCGTTTCTATGTTTTGGTCAATTACGCTATCATTCTATAACGTTTTGGTCTTTGAGACATCAAATGTAATTAGTTTAATGATATGATATATTAATAAAAGGGGTTAATTTTTAATCTGACTCCTAAACTTTAAATAAAAAATCAATTTAACCTCTAAAATCTAGACGAAATATCATTTTAACCCTTGAATCCGACTAAAGTCTCCCGCGGTCGGACATCGCTCACCATCGTCACAGATCATTCTCGATAACAATTAGACCCCGAAATTTATAGTTCACTACTTTTTCATCTCATGAACATTAATATGATGTTTGTTTCATCGAAAAAATACCTCAAATTCCATAAATCCCTTCGTCACTAAAGTTAATTGATCCTGGCCAAACACCTTTACAAATATATATATATATACACACACACATACATTACAACCAAATCATACCAAAACTAGGTAACGGGTCAAATTGATATTTTTTTCTAAAATTTAAGGGTCAATTTGATATTTTACCTAAAATTCAGGGGTCAAATTAAAAAGTAAACCTTTTTACTAATATGCAACATCATTAAACTAACATCATTTAATATTACACTGATCGAAATATTATAAATATATAATGTAAGTGACCAAAATGTTATAAAATGATAACATAAGTGACTAAAAAATTACTTTTTAAAATTCAGTGAACAAAAATAAACAGTTATGAAACTAATGCAACCATTGTGGTAGTTTATCCTTAAATTATTGAGAAAGTGAGAAGCTGCCGACTAATTTGATTAGGTTTTAGTTTGGTACGCAAAAAACGAATGGGGAACAGTGAAATCAATAACAAAACCACTGTTTAAGGTTTCACTATCAGCGGTAAAAACAGTTAACGGACCCAGCTTTTGCAGAGAAGAAAAATCATTAAAATAAGTGATTCACTTGGGGTTGAAAACTTTTTATATATCGATTGAATGGCTAACGTCGGTGATGATATTTTAAGGGTTTTAGGTCAGAAGGTGATGACAAGAATATAAGTGGGTGTCCATATCTAGATTTCTCCCATCATTAAAATGGGAGCCCACTAAATTATTATATTTTTGAGTTTTTTAAATAAAAAATGATGTTTAAATATATTTTTTAATTATTGGAGCCCACTAAATTATCATATTTTCAAATATTTAAAATAAAAAAGTATATTTAAAAATATTTTTTAATTATTAAACTTAAAAATAATTTAAAAAATGGACCCCTCCAAGTTTGGGTCCTATGCGGTCCCCTGGCCTATGCCCAGGGCCGGCCCTGATAAGGCCTGTACCATGTAACCTCTAGGGGTAGTTCTGTATATATTCTAGTCGTGCATGGCGTGCCGTCTATAACAAAAGGGAACATTTAAAGGCGTTTAGGAATCATGGACCCCAATGTGTTTGAAAAACTGGACACTGCCCGCACCAACTCCTTGATTAATTCCTGTAGTGAAATTAATTACTAATATGCTTCTTAATAGCTACATTATCTTCACCGAGCCAACTTGTTCTATGCACATCCAAATACCAAGTCTTGCATTGCTTAGTCTTACAGATTGGGTGCATTGTCGGTGCCACTGTGTTTTGGGGTTTCTATATATACATTGCCCCTAATGGCTAATGCTCCCACCACCCTTCATCTAAACGCCTCTGCTCTTTCTATCTTGTTCTGGTCTATAGTTTGTCTGATATAGCAGAATGGCTGCTTCTGCTGCTTCATTTGGTGTCGTGTACTTGTTTGTTGTGGTGATTTCGATGTTGGGGAGCAGTACGTACGCTGATCTCTCCAAAAATTTCTACTCGAAATCGTGTCCGAAGGTGTTCACTGCGGTTGAGTCGGTAGTTAAATCGGCAGTGTCGAAAGAGCACCGCATGGGTGCCTCACTCGTCCGATTGTTCTTCCATGACTGTTTTGTCAAAGTAATTTACTCTGTTTTTTAAAACCCTTTTCTTTCTATAGTCTATACAAATGCACATGCATAGGTCACTTTAATAATGGAGTTTCACGTTGAAAGGTATCCATCTTTGATAAAGACAAAAGTTCAACCCCCATGCATGTATCTTATTTCACTTTGTTAGTTAGTAAGCATGGGCTGCTAAATACCTTTCAAACCATGCATGCATTTCCATTGGTGGACTCAACAACTACAAGTGCTTATTTTGCTGATTAAGCATATGTTCGATGTATGATTATGACAGGGTTGTGATGGGTCACTACTCCTCGACGACACTGCTTCTTTCACGGGGGAGAAAACTGCGGGTCCCAATAATAATTCGGTGAGAGGATTCGAGGTCGTCGATGCCATTAAGGCACGGGTGGAGAAAGTTTGTCCTGGTGTAGTCTCTTGTGCTGATATCTTAGCCATTGCAGCTCGGGACTCCGTTGTTATTGTAAGTAATTCAATGAAAGAGTCGAAACCCTGAAAAGAAAAATGATAAATCACAAGAAATAAACTTGAATTTGATCGATGCAGCTCGGAGGGCCCGACTGGGACGTTAAGCTCGGAAGAAGAGATTCAAAGACCGCCAGCTTCTCCGCTGCAAATAGCGGTGTCATCCCCCCTCCGACTGCCACCCTCAGCCAACTCATCAATAGATTCAATGCACGAGGCCTTTCTGCCAAGGACATGGTTGCATTATCTGGTACAATATTCTTCCTAGGGTAAACTACGTGTTTAACCATCCACTTATTCCCATGTTTCCATTTTAGTCACTCAATTATTTGTTTTTTCAAAAGGCTTAATACAAAAATAAGTGCCTAAACTTTCTCGAAAAACATTTTAGTGCCTAAAGAATTTTTTGCTAAAAATAGGTGTTTAATGTTTTCTAAGTTATAATTTTAGGTGCCTACTGCTTAATTTGTAATTTTTTAATAATAAAAGGCTATTTTTATTTAAAAATGAAAAAGTTTAATTTATTTTAAAAAAACCCTAACTTTTTAACTAAAAATATAAAAAAAACCCTAAAACGATTGCCAGCTGTCTCTGGCCATCATCGTCGTCTTTGAATGATTGGGTTTTGATCGTAATTGCTCGGTGGTTCGAATGGTGGCATTGGTGTGGCTTATGGATGTCGAAATTTTCCAGAATCAATGAAGAACGATGACAGTGGTTTAAAAATTGATGAACCTTTGAATATTTATCTACGACAAATGGTGACATGTTATGATGAAAGGTCAATGAGGATTTGATCGTGGGTTGACGTCGGTGTCGATAATAATGGTGGTGATGGTCACAGCCCGTCGACCGACCATCATAGAAGGGGGAAGGTGAGGAGGGGAGAAGGCATTTGGGGGGTTTGGGAAGGTTTGGGGCTGCTAGGTGGGGTTTTTTTAAGAAAAAATATATATTTTTTAAATAAATTCTCAAAACTACCAGAACGTGACACGTGTCACTTAACGATCACTTAACGATGTTATCAACGTCGAGCACATAAAAGTATAACGTTAGAAAAATTAGGCACATATTTTTAATGAAAATTTGTTTAGGCACAAACATTTTTGTGGCGAAGTTTAGATATTTTTTTATTAAGCCTTTTCAAAATCATACCTAAACACCCTTAATTAAAAAATAAATAGACTAATGATGTGGTAATTTTTAATTTTTTCAATGAAGTGATATTATTTTACGGTGATGTGTCAACATAATTATTAATTTTTTAATGACGAGTGATTAAAATAGAACTAAAACGTAGGTTTAGGTATGATTTTGAAAAGAAAAATTATTGGGTGACTAAAACGAAACTGCGAAAAGGTGGATGACTAAATATGTAGGTTTTCTTTCATTCTATAGAGAAAAAAAAAACTCCTTGTCGTCGTCCTCTCCTGAGATTTTAGTTAAACTGCTTCATGTTCACGGTGCTGCCGGCAGGGGCTCACACGATCGGGAAGGCAAGGTGCGTGCTCTTTAGAAATCGGATATACAACGAAACGAACATCGATGGCTCATTTGCGAAGACAAGGCAAAGAAGCTGCCCGAGAACCAGCGGATCTGGTGACAACAACCTTGCACCACTAGACGTGAAAACCCGGAATTCTTTCGACTTGAAATACTTCAAAAACCTCTTAAACAAGAAGGGTCTGCTCCACTCAGACCAGATACTCTTCAATGGCGGATCCACGGATTCGTTGGTTAAAACATACAGCAGCAACGTGAAGACATTTTATTCAGACTTTGTTACTGCGATGATAAAGATGGGAAATATTACGCCACTCACCGGATCTAAGGGTGAAATCAGGAAGAACTGCAGGAGGCCTAATTAACTATTTGTAAATCCAATCCAACAAAACAAAGAAAAATTATTCCACCAAAATAAAGCATTGGTAATAAAGAAAAATTATTCCACCAAAATAAAGCATTGGTAATGTGTGATCGAGTTCCTAAAGGGACAGTGCGCGTGTATTTTGATGCAAATTAATGAATATTTTCCTCTTCAACTCAGTAAAACAAATCTTACCAAATAAACTTAAATCTTACATAAAATCTTTTATTTTATTAAAAAAAAGTAATTTTTAAATTACTTTTTTTAAGATTGTAAGGTTTGAAATCAAGAATATATACAAGATTTTATATTAGGATGAATTTATAATAATTTAAGAAAACGAACTTATAATATCTTTAAAATATTATAAAATTTGAAATGAAATAAAAATAAATTATCAATAATAATATTTAAAATAAATAGCGTTACTGTTGAAGCAGTAGACTTAACAAACAATGCAACGACACAAACACACACTCCAGAAACCCAAGAAATGAACCCAACGCAGCTTCCACAGGCGCTTGGGCGCGTGTTATCCTCGTCCGAGATGAACAAATCCCTCCCCGGCTCAGGAGATATCGAGTCTTCTCTAATTCAAATTTACAACCATCACCACCAAAATTCCCTCCAGCTCCGGGATCAGGCTGGTCCGGTTATTTTCACCTCTCCCCCTCTTAATTTCGTTTTTGAGTTGATTAAAATAATTTGTTGGAATGAATTTGATTGGAACAGAGAAAGCGAAGAAAGACGCGATTATGAAGGCGGGGAGAGTGTCGGATTTGTTGGTGGAGGCCGTGAACGGCGGTGTGCAAGAGTCGTTTGTAAACGAGAAGCGAATCGAGGCGGAGATTCGTGCTTTGGCTTCTACCATTGCTCGTTTCATGAAGCAGACCGATCAGTGGCTCGCTGCTTCTCACTCCATTAACACCGCTGTTAAGGTTTTCTCCCCTTTCTTATCCCGACCCATTCGTCCTTTTTACTCTTTTAACTTAATTACGATTGGTTTTTAGGAAATTGGAGACTTTGAGAACTGGATGAAGAGCATGGATTTCGATTGTAAGAGTATCAACGCAGCAATCCGCAACATCCATCAACAATGAGTAGTACCAGTACGTGGTTTCATTAACTTATTTTTTTTAAATTACTGCAAATCAAACCCTAATGTACGCTCTTTACTGCTACTGCTAATTCCTGGGAATTGAATGGGATTAGCGTCTTCATTATTTGGGGTTATTTACCTTTTAATAGTTAGTGAAGTCGATGTTGAACTTGGAATGTGACAGGGCAAAATAGTGCTAGTACTTGCTAAATGCTAACAGTACAACACAATGGCATGTACTATCTTAGAGTACATTTAACGATTACACTTGAACTTGGAAATTAGAAGGAACCATAAGGCATAAAGGTTTGATTCTGGTTCTCTTGGCATGTCATAAGAAGATCGCTTAATATATCTGTGATTGCTTACCAAAAAAATGCCATTTCTATGTGATTTTAGATGCTCACATCATATCTGGTAATGTTTTTTAACCTCAGGAGCATCTCCTAAAATGTATGCAGGAAGAACTTTCCTTTCTTTGGAGTTTGTTAATTTATGCATGATCTTTTTGTAGGCTGCATGTGCTTTTCTCTTTCAAATTAAGGTAGTTTATAATCTTATTTGCAAAAGGGAAATACTGTTAAACTTTCTTCCTAAATAAGAGTAATGTACAAATTCCATGTCACCCTCCTTCAATCATTCTCCATTTCTAGCTCCCAAAAACTTTAGAAAGTCTGCATAGACTTTCATTATTATGTTTTGCCAAATAAATCAACATTAGTTAGGGATCAGTTAGCAGTCTCTATTAATAAAATAATAAGTGAAGGAAAAAATTTCTGAAAACAAAGCAACTTAAAGCACATTCTTGTAGTGACTTCCTTTATTTTATAAAAAAAAGAACTTAAGCTTAGCAAGAAAATACTATTTTTATTAATAAAGCAAATAACCGATTAATACAACAGCCCAGAATCTAAAATTGAACACCAGAACACTGCAGAACCACTCCTGCATTCAAGTTCCAACACCAAAAACAAAACAGATTACATAACAAAACTCTCACCGTTCAAAAAGCCTACTGAAAACATCAGTAAGTACATAAACATCATATAACCTGAAACATATGCTACCATGCCTTGAGCATCCTACCATTCGTCTGTTGTTTGCTCCATTAAAAATAGCATTTTCTTGCTAAGCTTAAAAGAAAAACAAAGTCGCGACAAATGAATGTTCTTCAAGTTGTTTTGCTTCCACATTTTTTATTCTTTACTTTCTCACTATGTTTTTATTTATAGAAACTATTAATTCATCCTTAACCATTTTTGATTTATTTGGCTATAGATAATAATGAAAGAGAACCAAATATCTTGCTCAACACTGGAACACTTCAGAGTTCTTAGATAAGATGAGATGCAAAGCTCCATGTTCTGCTTGAAGCTTTACATGCTGCAGGGAAACTAAATCTCCTTTCCGTACGCGTCTGAAGAAAGACAATGGAGTCCTCAGATAGTCAGACTATTGTGAGCTCCGAATGGAACCCTCTTAGACTTTCTGAAGTTTCTAGAATTAGGGGAGATGATTGAAGAAGAGTGACATGGAATTTTTAGGCCGACATGGAGTTTAAATTGTACTATTTTACCCTTTTTAGGAATAAAGCTATTATTTAAAATAAGATTTTGAACTACCTTATGTTGAGAGAAAAAAAAAACGTTCAGTAGCATACTCTCATGGTTATCTCAACCAGTCATGTAAAGTTACATAATTTGTCGTTATTTTTGGTGTTTCTGCTGCCTAAAAAAAATCTATACGAGATAAATATTTTAAGCATTTTTATATTTATAGCTAAAGAATTACTCACTTTGAGCAGGTAGGCAGGTGCCAATTGAAGTCCCTTCTGTTTCTGATAGGGTTTTCTTTCTTACAAAGAATCCTGCAATTTCATTTGATCATTTGATAACGAAGGAAAACAACATCATTGGGTATTTCTCTAATGATCATGTACCGTATCTCCAATTTCTATGTGGAAAACCATTTATGTATGTTGATGGCAGTGGGTCATTTTCTTTTCAGAAGCAAGCAAAGTTCTGAAGGCATGTACATAAAACAAACACAATTGCGGATGATAATTAACCATCTCATATTTGATTTGTATTAACAAATTTAAGGGGCGGTGGGGGTGTAGATTAAAGTGGTAAATGTTAAGGAATTGGTAAATATAATAAATCAAAAATCGTCGAACAAATCTGAGAAAAAATTAATACCATTGCTATTGTACCCGCTAGTAGGATAAGAGTTCAAACGCATTTAAAGATTTGAGGGGATTACGTGCAGTGAAATTGACAGAAGTCACAAAATCATCATGTCGAGCTTATTATTATTATTATATATATAGTGTATTTTTTTGTGAAATACCTTTCTCCCATTCAGTACATACAAGTGTCAAAGAAAACATAGATAGGGCAAGGAAAAAGAAGCAACCAAGATCAAACACCTTATCACTAACCTTACTACACTCTTCAATATCATAAAAGGCCTTAAAAATGAGCTTCCTAAACAACAGCCTCTACATTTCATGCCAACATTCAAAATACAAAATTTTCTTCCTCTGCTCCGACTGATGCTGGTCCCTCTCCCATCTCTTTGGCAGCTTCAGCCACTGAATCACTTATGTCAAGCAGATATTGCAAACGGGACAACTTTTCAGGCTCAGGATGACTTTGTGCATATACACCAAAAAGATCAGCTACCTCCTCCGGAACATCCCATGATAGCGGCTCCGATGGCACAGCCTTGTCACAAGCTAGCAAGTCATTAAGTGAGGATACCTACAAAAAAAAAAGAAGCAACAAAGCACTTTGAATTTAGGAATCAATTGACCTTATTACGAATACAAGTATGTTGACAACAAAAACTATCGTACAGAAACCAAGCTTTTCAATGCTCCTTACCACTCCCTGTCGATTTCTCTGCCGTAGTAGCGCCACAGCTTGAATAAATGAATTAGACAATCTAGTCCGTGCTAGATCATGAACAACTCCTTTTGCCTTTTGTGGATTGACCTTGAGATCTGCTGGGATCTTCTCATACACTTCTTCCTCATCAAACTCTCCGGTGCCTGATGAGAAAATCTCATCTAAAGTTTTCTTGAAGAGGTTTTCTCGCAAACTCACTGAGATCATGTTGTCTAAATCAACACCTGATTCCTTAAGTTCCCTTATCTGCTTAATGTTGAGTCTTCCTTGACCAATAGCTGTTTCAATGGCAGCTGCCATTTTGGTAGTTGTTATGCTCTTTATTATTTTTTGTGCATATTCTCCAGGCAAGCCAACACTCTTCTGCAGCTCAGTGAGCTGCTCAATCCTAGCCTTTGTTAACTGTCCATCAGCTAAAATCACCTCAGCTTGTTGCTTAAAAGCCTGCTCTGCCAAACTTCGATGGACATTCACTGTCTCCTCACTAGTCAACCCAAGGATCCCACCAAGCTGGTTTAGTAGAACATACTCTGAATCATCCTTCTTTGTGGTTATTTGAGCACCAAAAGGAATCCTGGTGACTTCTCCTGTCAGACAATATAACAAGTACGTCTTGTACAGGTCCATACGGTCTCTTTCGGAGAGGTCATCTTTGAGTGTTATCTCTGTTTGGCCTGGCTTGCCCAACTTTTCCATAAATTCCTTGTTAGGTCTTATTTTCCTAAGTGTTTGAAGCGATTCCCATTCATCCTCTTCATCATTTTGTTTTACTTCCTCTTTAACAGGTTCTTCCGGTGGAGCATCGGAAGATTCCCCTTTGATGTCTGCCACCAATTCCGTGACAACCAAGGTATTAAAGGCAATCATCTTCTTGAGTTCTTTTGCAGACTCTGTACGATTATCGGCTGATCGAGACCGTTTCACATAATTCAAGAAAACCTTACGGACCTGGACACATATATGATAATTTCAAGCAGAGACAAAGATGTAAAACCTAAAACTGAAATTTAACAAATTGAAAACAAACAGACACAATAATCATGGTGTGTACTCACAGCCTTGCTGGCAATTGACATGGCCGCTTCTCTAGTTAATCGCAAACCATGTGCAGCTTTCCTCACAGCATTCTTGACATCAGCATCATAGCCATCAACACCAGAAGAAATAGCATCTTTCACAGCCTGAAGCAATAATTCATAATTAGAAGACAATGGGGGACAGCAATAAGACAACTAACCACGTGTTGTGGTTCCAATAATCCATGTGAGATTTTTCATTTTTCCGAGTTTTCCGTATCAATACGACAGTCATAAAGACTTCAAACATTTTTCTGGGGCATAATGATTACAGATGTGCTGACGCACCAAAAGTTCCAGTTTTCATCCAAGCTCCAGTACTAGAGATACAGTTCAGCTGATGAGATGCTAATGCAATACTAAGCATGGATTTATTCCATTTTCAAGGGTAGAATAAGCAAAGAAATAATCATTCAGAGCAAATCCTGAAAAATTTAGAATTACAACAATGAATATCTAGGCCGAGACAATTTTACCTTCTCAAACAAACTGCCACAGATATCTGAGTGAGCAGCATCAACAGTTTGCTGAGGAATGCAGAGCGAGACTCGCACCTTCAGCAATGCAGCAACATTACTATCATCCAGCTCCCCATCAGCTACACATTGTTGAAGCTTTTTCCGGTAGATTTCTTGAAACAAAATAAACATTTCACACTCTTTTAAAATAATACTCTAAAGTTGAAAACAGAAAAATAATACTCTAATAGGGAAGACAAAAGTCTCAGCCTTTTCTTTTTCCCAACCCTGCTTATAGTACCTTCATGGATCTCACTAGCCTTTTGTGGATCAAAGTGCAATTCTTCACAAAGATTTTGGAGGAAGGCAGCCTTGCTATCTGCCATCTCTAGTTCACCCCTCTGAAAGCCCTCTGAAAGTCGTTTTTGATATACTTTTGATGTGACATCAAGCATGATTGCTTCTGCTTCTTTTTTACCCAAACCAAGAATGTTCCTCAGTTGGTTCAATGCAGTTAGCTAAAGTTTGAACACAGAAAACAAAAAGAAACAAGAATTAGGCAACTAAAAGACAATGTGCGGTGAATTACAAAGATAACGCATCAAAACCTAGTATACCAAGAAAAAGAACATTGAAAAAAGGAATGCTATAAGAAATGGTTTTAATTGATGAAACAAATTCTCCCTGTTGCTGTTGAGAAAACAATGACTAATCAGCTAGTTTATCACCAATAAGTTTAATGTTTCCACGTATTCATGATTCATAAGTTGAATCAACAAAAAGGAGACCAGACTGAGTTCCCATAAAATTAACAGTTATGTAAGGGCAATAAGAAAAGCCTCCTAAGTTCAATGCTCTTAGGTTTTGTCAAGTGGTGGAATAAGAGAAGATTAAAGGACTCAACCAGATCAACAGCAGGAGAAGAAACAAATGTTCTACAATGGATCTTAATGGTTCTTTGATTTCATGTGCTATAAGAATGAGAAACAAATAATTCAGAGTACTATCTGGATATTTTAAACTAGACCAGAACCTTCATCCTTTCCGTACTACCAAAAATCAGAAGGTTTCAAAGTTGCAAAAAAAATAATAATCATACCTGTTCAACTGCTATGGTAAAAAGAAAAGCTTATAGAATTTACACCTGAACGTATATAGATAAAACAATACCAGCGCAAGAACCAACTACATAACAGTTGCACAAAATAACAATTCAGATTTACTGTTCCAGCCTCCTTTACACCATTATCCAAGACAAACCAGCTTGATATTCTTTTTCATAACATGATACGGATCATTTTCTTTAGGAAAAGTTACATGGATTCAATCTTCTTCTATCAATAAGATAAGTTGGAGAAAAACAAAACTACACTGGCTGAAACGTATAAGAATTTTTCTGCATGAGTGATAGTGTTTCTGCCAATAGGATTAGTTTAAAACAAAATTTAGATGTAATGCTTCACAAAAGGTAACAACTGCTATATGAAGGAATTTGGATGTTCATCGAACCTCTAAGCTATTAGACCCACCATGGGCAAACTGAACAAGAATATAGAAAGAAGGAATTCAATTACCTTATGATTTTCCATGTGACCACCAGATAAAGAATCTGTTACATAAGCTCTGTAAAGAAGCTTCAATTCATCCATCTTCCTGTCACTATCATACTCACCACCTGAAACAGTCACAAATAATGGTAGTTAGTGGTTTTGCAATAGAGATGCTCAAACCAAAACTATAATAAACATTAATCATAAATACTTCGTAAAAGGAAAAAAGGTTTGCGCACCCATTATAAACAAAGGCAGGCAGAATTTCACAGTTGACTCAATATTATTTTATGCCTAAATAAAATAAAAAATAAAAGCGCAGTACAAATGACAAGGTCTAAATCGTGCATCTAATCAAAGGACCAGGGAGCATACCAACTAGAGAGACAGGACCAAGCCCACAGGCAAAACGATCAGCATCTAGATGTTTACTCAAAGAGGTAAGCAAATCATTGAATGACAATATCTTGTCAAGCTCTTCCACGGCTTGCTTGACTCCCCCACTGAAAACCTTATTTCATTAGTTGAGCTAACGGTACCAAAGCAAAAATTTTAAATATTAGCAGTAAGGAGAGAACATTCATAATCAGAAGCAGATGCAGAAGTATATGATGACATTTAACCATTTTCATTAAGGAAAACTTTCTGATCGAAAAGGAACAAACAGCATTA